ACAGTGGAAGGGTAACAAAGAATCCGTTCTTTTTAACCATGTGCTTTTTAACATACCAGGCCTGTACACAGATGACAAATGTAGTCTTTCTAAAGACGTTAATCACACCCCTAACCTGCTAAATCCTCACTTTATCTCATGTTCACAGTGATACGTGTGCACACAGGCTCACTGAGACACAAACTGGATGCATTTTATCGTCAAGGATACTGTTGCATTCTAACAATAACAACGCAAACTTTTACAAGACTGTATCACAGCAGAATACTTTATTAAGAGATTACAATAAATGAGTATTACAGTATGCATGGCCGGAGTAAATAAGGAACTATTTTAGTGCATGTATAAGGTAATTTTTCTGTATCCAATCCATTTTGTTGTGATGGGAGTCTGTAGCCTACTGTACATAGGAAGATAACAAAGCTGAAAACACATAACTGAACCTCAGTGTCAAACATCATCGTCTACATCAAACTTTTGCAGTCTCCTCCTCTGTTTCCTGGTTTATGACATCACGATAGATTTTCAAAAGGGCAAAGACTTTCATACTCATTAGCAATGGTTTTTTTGCTTCTTGACATTTACAGGCCTTTCTAGACAGTAATGCATTCTCTTATCTGGGAGAACACTAGATGATTACAGAACAATTCCTGCCTCCAATCAGACCTGACAGAGGATGAATCTCAGTTTTCCCGAGTCCACAGCTGCACAGCTTCAGTTTTTTGTCTTTTGTATGCTCATTGGTATTATATTAATTCCTGTAATTAATGTACCAGACCTCAAACTAATATATGATATATGGTGGTTTCCTTTTCATCTTTTTTGTTTGTTTACATCCAGGATTGGCCCAACATTTTTGGGGACCCTAAGCAAAATTTCATTAACCTAGTTGTGATTTTCCTTCAAATTCTGACAAGTTAATCATATATGATCATAAATCATATTATGTCCTATTTACATAATATGATTTGGGTTCCAACATCTTAGCTGTCACCATGCACAGTGGATGATTTTCCTCCAATGGAAGTATCCAAACTCCTGCTGCAATGCCTGGGATAGATTCTGCTTTCTGCACAGATAGGGGATGTCCTGTACTATGGTTTGGGCACACTGCTTGAGAAGACAGAAGCAATGGAGTTAGGCTGAGGTGCCACGGACGTCCGGTGTTGCCCATTCTGTGCCTCCTTGGTGGGCTCCAAGAAGACCACGTGCTTATTGCTGGCAGGCTTGCGACTGGCTCTCTCAACTCCCCCTGGAGGTGTGTTGTGTGCGGCTGACTGTGCGGTGTGTTTGCAGACAGGGCTGAGCCGGGCAGGTGGCAGGGGGTGCATGCAGCACCAGCAGCGACAGGGTGTCAGGTACAGGTATATCAACACCAGCACTAGGCTGACCGCGCAGCCCAGTAGGGTTGTGAAGCCCGTGTTGAAGGGCTCAGCTTGACTCCTCCTCAAAATCACCGTCAGATTTACCTCCAGCGTCTCATTGCGCATCTGCAACCGATCCACGACCATGCACAGGTACACCCCCGAATCCTCGGTCTTGGCAGCCAGGATCCACAGGCTGCCATTGGGAAACATACCCAGGGACCGGTTGTTGCCCGGAGGAGCTATGTACTCCTGGCTTGGGGAAACCCACAAGTAGGACATGTGTTTCCCTTTCATGGAGGTCCGGCAGTCCAAAAGCACCGAGTCCCCTGCAAAGGCCAGCAGACTGGTCTCTAGATCCTCTGGCAGACTCTGTGCTGGCAGAGTACAGTTCTCGAAGAAGCGGGAATGTCGGAAGAAGCGTACAGAAGCTCGGATCTCTCCGTACACCAGGCAGGTGTGCTGCTCCTGGAAGTCTGTCACACAGCCGAATCCTCGCCTCTCCCAGCGGCGAAACAGCCCGTACATGTTGCAGTCACAGGTCAGAGTGTTGTTATGGAGGAACAGGCCACTTTGCATGGAAATCGGGAGTGCCATGATGTCTTCCAGGGGCAGCTTGGGCAGCCGGTTAGAGGAAAGATCCAGTGTATGGAGGAAAGGGTGGCTGTGCCCCTTGATCGAGAAGAAGGGGAAGTCAGTGAGGCGGTTGTGGCTCAGGTAGACCTTGTGCAAGTGCTTGAGGCCAACCAAGGCCCTGCTCTCCACCCGGACAATGCGGTTGTTGAACAGCAGCAACTCTTCAAGAGCCTGTAGGTTCTGAAAATAGTGATGTTCCACCACGCGCAGCAAGTTGGAGGAGAGGTCCAGGTGGCGCAGGCCACGACTGCTGTTCTGGAAGGTTCCAGGAAGTAGTCCAGACAGTCGATTGTGGGCTAGGCGCAACGTGTTCAGCCGAGCCAGCCCCTCAAGGCTGCCTTCCTCGATTCGCACCAGCCGGTTGTGGCTGAGGTCCAGAGTTGCTGTAGACCCAGACATTTGTGAGGGAAGTTGCTCCAGGCCTTGGGAGACACAATTGAGGATGTCCGAGGCACAGAGGCAACCCGTAGGGCAGCCACCCACTGCTAGCTGGAGCAGGAGTGAGCTTAGCAGCATGCCATGAGTGCAGATCATGGTGCTGGCAGTAGGCTGCTATCCATGGGTGAAGCACACAGGTCTTAAACATAAAAAAGCATATAGACAATGTGAAAGGATTATTCCAGAACCAACATTAATATTACTAACAGAAAGATGCTTTACATATTATTTCTGCAAGTATATTGGAAAGCTTCTCCCCATCTTGCTGTCCTTTGACACAAATTGAGACTGAAGCTTGGGGTCTGAGTGCAGGCCTAAGAAGCTTGGAAGCATTTTGGGGAGTTAAGGGCTTTACTCAAGGGCTCAGTGGACATGTGATTGTTCTACCGACGACTGGATTCAAACAGGCGAACTTCCAATCAAAAAGAGAGGCCTAATCTGCTGAGCCACACACTACCCCCCACATTCAGAAATTAAAACACAAGCATTAAAACAGACAAAAGTAAAGGACCTACACATTAAGAATTATATCTGTAAAAGTAAACTGAAAAGTATTTTTTAGGAGAAATCATGAGTATGGGTGTTAGCGTTAGGGTTAGGTTTAGGATTAAATTCAAAGAGTTTGAAAACTGTACAGTTTGAGTTCTTTCTGCTAATTCTGAAATCTAGTAATTCTGAGTGCAAGAGAATTAATCGTTTATCTTCAAAAAAATCAAATAATACAGAAAGACTTAATCTGCTCTTCTGTACCTCTTGCTGTTAGCCAGAGCTGCTGTGATGTGAACTTGTGGATTGATCTGGAGCTCCAGTAACGAAAAAAAATCTTACCATGCAAAGTACAGGAGAGGTCTTCTTCGCTACAATGTGAAGTTCTTGAACTTGTAACACCGATCTTGACAGGACAGGCTCATCTTAAATCAAAATAAAAAAAACAACAGGGTTTTATCCTGTTAACTTGACACAACTACTAAATGCTTACATGTTTGTTCCCAGCTACTGTATGGTTGCAGAGTATGATCTTTTGGAGACAGGTTGGTTGATGAACACCGTCCCGAATTCTGAGTGCATAATAGAAGCTTGTTCTCATGCTAATAATCATCTCACCTCCAGGTCAACTTCAGGTACTTTCCCCGGCCTCTGATCCCATCTGTCTCTCACTCCAGAAAAAGTCCTGGCCAGTTCTCCTTCTGTTTGTCCATCCAAACTGGTGGATGATGTTTCTTCCACATCCCTTATTGGCTGAGTCGGAGCCAGCCGGCATCGCACAGTCACAGTCACTGAGAGCCGACTTTGCCTCTTCTCCAGTCCCGTCACAGTGGCCCCCTCTTCCTGCTCGGCTGCTTTTTGTCAGTCTACATCCCTCCCGTGTGCGGTGCCTGCTTGTGCTCCCGTTTCCCCACCCCCTTTCTCTCGCTCTCTCCACATCTTCCCCCCGCCCCCCCCCCTCCCACTTTCATCTCACAGGCAGAATTGAAATAATGGGAGGTGTGAGGGGCCAGGGCAGAGCAGTGATTGGACAGAATGAGCGATAACGAGGGTAAAAGTCTTTGACAAGCATATCCTCTGTTTGCTTTTCGACTTGCCATCACCTTGTTGTCGGTGATGATTTTTGTTTTGTCTGCTGTCTTTTGGAACTGTTTGTTTCTCCTTGTTTCAGCCATGGACTGATTTCTTCTGCTGACTCTAGGAACTGGCACAATCAACCATAATAATTAGCAACCTCTCCCAGGGAAAAATCCAGAAGAAGGGTGAGATGGTGGGGGGGGGTGGCTGGCTGGTTGTTCACATTTCCTATTTTAATCTTGTGTTCAGGCAGGAGAAAAGTGTAATCTCACCCATTCTGCCATTAACAGTCTGTCTCAGGGGTCACCCACTTCCAGGCTCAGTGGATGGGTAATGGAAACCATGCCAAGAAAACTACCACGTAAACAGTTTAATCCATAAGTGCCTCACATTCTTTAGAAGCAAGGCGACTATTTAAAGAGGTGGCAAAGTGTAGACAATGGAGTGTGCAAACGTTATATTGAATGTAATTCATTCTGTGTGGATTAAGACCTGAAACAGGAGTTAATTAGATATGTCAGAAAACTAAGTAAACAACACACCAGCAAGAAACATGAAGTAAAAAAGAGAATGTATATTCAAGATTCTTTATTTGCCTTCTGCACATCAGCACATGGGGATTCTTATCCAGTCAGTAACATAAAACATCCAACACAAAACAAGACACTCATAAACATCAAAGTACAGATATTACTAGTGTGTGTGTGTGCGTGTGTGTGTGGATGAATGTTCTTTTGTGTACATGCAGGACTGCACATGCACATTTAAGTGTGTGTGCATGTGTGTCAGTGTGTGTGTGTGTGTGTCAGTGTGTGTGTGTACAGTATGTGTGTCAGAGTGTGTGCATGTTCGTTTTGAGCTGCCTCTACCTTTCGGTCACGGTGGGCCAGGCAGCCCTGATAGTTGTCACACTGCATTAGGCTCGCTGCCCAGTATCTACATCTCCCTCTACCCACTGCCAAGAGCCTCTGCCAGGGGCCCACAATGGCTCCCACGCAGCCTACAGAGCGACTGCCCGGGTAAAAATTAAACAGATAGAAGGAAAGGAATAAGGCATGGGGAGACCGGAGGGTTGAAAATCGGGGAGGTGGAGGTTGAGGGACAGGGATGGGTGGAGGATGGGTGATGAGAGCTGTAAAAATATATTTAGTTTCTACCTATATATATTTGAAAAGCAGACCGTCCAAGGTTTCTGAGAGTATTTTTAAAATGTGTATATGACAAAAACTCGCGGAGTTATTTAAACGGTTTTGCGAAATTTCTGTCAGATCCCGCCGGCGGGACCGCCGACCCCAATGAGAAGTACACAGTACTGCCACTATGAGAAGAAACTCAAGAGAGTTTATTGTCATACGGACAGTAAACAGTCAGGCACACTATGTAATGAGAAGTAACTAAATGGCCCGTCCTACAGTATGTGCCAGGTTTTATTGCAAAACCTCCTAAAACAAACCTTTGTTGTAGTGGATTCATTATATATTTTACTTATATAGGGATAAAATGCATAAACCTGTACATATATGTGTGCAGGTGTGTGAGTGTGAGAGAGTGTGTGGGTTTGTATTTACCACATTGGGGACCGAATGTCATCATAGTATGGTAAAATATATACGATAAAAAAACTTAAAATGCTTTAAGTGTTTATTTTGTTTGGTTACTTATGGTTAAGGTTAGAGATAGGTAGGGGTTAAAGGTGTCATTGTTTGGATTAGGGTTTATCCCATAGAGATAAATGTAGAGTCACACACACACACAAACACACGCGTGCACTCACAGGATTGTCTGTACTCCTTCGAGCTGAGCATTCAGATAGCCAATCACACTCTCGCCTCACCACCATTTGTACTCCTCTCAAGTCATTATACTTAAGTTCAATTTCCGATAATTTTAGGTTAATTGATTTATTTGGTTCAACTGCAATTCCACTGAAGCCGCATTAGAAAAAAAGAGAAGTCAAAAGAATGTGGTGGAGTAAAAGCAGGAACTGAGCCGTGTGGTCTGGCTGCTGCCCGCTGAGAGTGATAGAGGGACAGATATGGAGCGTTTCCAGGGAACATAAAAGGGATCGTTAATGAGATACAGGAGGCGCCGGATCAGGATACAGCTAAGGGGACTGAAGGACACGTGCTGTCAGGAAGATGCTTTTTTATACTAATGGAGGACGGTACGAAAAGCAATTTAGAGATTTTATAAAAAGAAAGAACCTTCTCTGCACTGCAAGAGGGTGATTGAGAAGGGTCAATACAGTAATGCAGTATTTCTGATAATGTCCTTTTGTCTGGGACAGAGGAGAGGAAAGGAGAGGAAGATATGCAGCTTATTCTTCTTCTATGGCATTTAATAATAATGATAATAATGAAGCCACAGCCTTGGTGGTCAACCTCACAAGATCTTCATCTTTCCTAACAGCAGTTAACAGATGTCCTGAAGAAAGAGAGAATATTCGCTGCAGAAGATATTGGTCTCATTAGAGAAGGAATGGAGCATGTGTCTAATCAAGCGATAGCATTCGTATAATTGCTGTGAAAATGACATTCATTTGTGAAAATGAGATTCATAACAGATAAAACCTTAATTGGCTCTGGATATATTGGGTATTGCCACTGATTTCCCGCTTCGATTCAATTCCAATACACAAGGTTGCAAATCAATTCGATTTCCAATTCCATTCGATTTGATTCAGAATTGATTTTGACGCCCATAAGTAAGTAATCCGTATAAATTCAATGTATCCTTATGTTTATTAAATTATGTTAGCGGAGCACGCCATGTGGTACTGTTTTGGTATATCATGGTAGCCATAAGCACTGAAGTGGTGGTGAAGAAAGGGACAGCTCAACAGCCACAACATCTTTTAAAAAAGCAGATATTGTGGATAAACAAGGTAAAAAGATGGTCGTTGGTGTGGTGGTACTTTTTGCAGTTTAAAGTCTTACGAGTTTACTAAATATAAGGAAACATCGAATTCATACAAATTACTAACTTGGGTGTCAGAATACACCTATCATTAATATTTTTGGTGTACTACTAATCTGCTTATAAGTAAACGTCCTTATGAAGGGTAAGTAAACGTCCGTATACTACCGAAAAACCGGTGATTATATAGTAACAGTGATTATATGATAACTTAGGCAACTTAGGTTAAGTCTCCAAGGCGCCCAAGAAAGTCCAGCAAGTGCACATAAGTATATTTTGCACATACTTAGAATGTGACTTTTGCGACACTTTACTCAAAGGAAGATCAAATGCAAGATCAATAGGAAGTAGTGGCTGCCTTCCGAACATAAGTTCATATGGGGTAAATGCGGTGGAATTTTGCCTTGTGCAGGTATACACATACACTAAGGGCTTTACAAAGTCACGCCAATGCATTTTGCCCTTACTACTGAGAGTACCCAGCATACTGAGAAGAGTATGATTAAATCATTTGACTGGCTTTCCTCTCGGGTAATAGGGAGTAGTTTTGATCCATAATGGATTACAAAATGTTCCCAAGCTTTCTGGTTAGGAGTTGGAATAGCCACAGCTTATTTAGTGAAAAAATCTGTTATCACAAGAATGTCTTTAGTATTAATTGAATCTGGATCTAGCTAAAGCAAATCCATGAGCTGCAATTCTAGGTGTCTGGTAGCTTTTATGTTGACTAAAGGGGCTGCTTGCTCAGGCAATGTCTTGTAAATAACACAATGAGGGCATGTTTGGATCTTTCTTTCAATTGCAGTAGCCATCCTGGGCCAATAAAACCAAAACCTCACAAAATCAAGTGTGCACTCAATGCCAAGATGACCCATATCATCATGTAAGCTTGTCATAACCATATCTCACAATGTTCCTGGAAGAAACAATTGGTACTGGGTCAGTCCAGCCTCTTGACATTTTCAATAGAGAATTCCTCCTTAAATGTTTTTCCACTCATGTAGTAGCAATGGAAGTTCTGGAAACTCTGCTCTCAGAGATGGTGGGGATGTTTCACCTGATTCCAACAAGAGGATAATTTCCTGGATAGTGGAGTCACATCTCTGCTTGTCTTTGACATCTTCATTAGACAGAAACTGAATCACAGGAATTGCCCCAGAGGGATTCCTCTCATCAAAATATTCTGGAATGGCCTCCATATTCATAGAGAGTGAGGAAAATCACGTGTATTCCCACCAGTCACATGTTGTACCAGATATTTTTCAAAGATGGCTTTGGTGACATCAGCTGAAAAAAAATTTTAGCTGGTCACCCTCAGGTAAGTGATGAGCCAAAAACTGCCATACTCACTCTTGTTCTTTCTAGGAAACCGGGTCATCCCACCATCATGAAGGCATCTGGAAACATCATCTACATCAAGATTTCATCTTTCTGCTCTATACTGTAACTTGAAAGAAAGTTGAAAGAGCAGACTGCCACCTATAACTTGTTGCATCTAATTTGGCTGACATGAGTATGTATGTTAAAGGGTTACTATCAGTAACAACCGTAAAATGACTACCATATAAATTATCATTGAATTTCTCTGTGATAGCCCACTTAAGGGCTAAAAACTCTTGCTTGTCTGCCGGATGCCTCCCTCCGTGAAAGACCTCAACTAGCAAAAGCGATAACTCTCATTTGTCCCAGGTACCTCACAGAGGTCTGGAAGAATTTGCATTTCTCCAATGATAGCTTCAACTCATACTCTTTGAGATGGTATAGTACATGTAAAAGACAACGCTCATGTTCTTCCAAGCTATCAGAGAATACTATGAGGGCACCCAGGAAAACAAGGACTTCCTTCAGGTTAATTT